CGCCGCGCGGAAAGGGGGTGGGCGGGCGGATAACGCGGCAGAACCCCGGCCCCCGCCCGCCGCCCGCCGCCCGACTCGCGTCCGCCGCGGTCATTTATGGGGCATTCGGGCTTCGCCACCATCCACCTCAGCGATTGTACAGTTGGCGCTGAAATGGTGTTTGATGAAAAAGCATCCTTCAGCCATGCTCTGCCCACAAGGACGGCCCAGACCATTGAGAGGCAGGAGCTCGGGAAGCTGGGGATAGGAGGAGCGGCGGAGGACAATTGGAGTTTCTGGGAAGGCTTCATCGAGGAGTTAAGAGCTGGGACGGAAGGGATGGGAGGGGTAGCCAGGTGAGAACAACAGGTCTGACTGAGCTTCTCTGAGGGCAGAGGTGTGGGGAGCCCTGGTCTCGTGGTGATTTGCTCCAACGTGTAGTTGGGAAAATGGTACCCAGGATACAAGTAAACTCTGCATAGTCATCACCTAGGCAGGATCTATCTCCTTACGGTATCATAGGAGTCGAGACAGCTGTCCAGGCTCACTCCCGGGAGGGGAGGCAGGGGCGCTGAGTGGCAACGCAGGAACCAAGGAACCAACATCCCAGCACCTAAGAGCCCTCAGACTGTGGGTGGGCCTCTTGTGGCTTCCTTTCTCCTTTTCCCCCACTTATAAGCTAACGTCTGTGCCTTTGCCGGTGCTGCTTCTACCAGCAGTGCCCGTCTTCCTTTCTCTGGGTGACAGCTCATAGTTCCCCCTGAAAAGCCAGCTCCAATTTACCTAGATTTCCCTGGAGTACGGCAATGTTGGAGTGCCGAGGGAGGTTGTGGACGCTGCGGGGAGGGCAGTAGCCACACCCAGTTTTGTTTATGTCTCCTAAAGCACCCGGGACAGAGCCTGGCAGACATTCAATGATACTGCATGAGTGAAAGTGCTAAACCGCCACCACTACCCCTCAACTGCCCTGGTATCCGTAAGAAATGATTTAACCTCTTGACCTCAGTTTCCCCAGCTGTGAATTGGGGATTGTGTTTCAGTACAGTTCATCAAACATGTAAGGGCATAATGATGGAGGCTGGGTGCTGGGCTGGCCCTGAGGAGGTCCCCAGCTGTCGGACCTGGAGACCAACGGTGTGGGGGTGCAGAGTGAGCCTTGAGGAGAGCGGGCTTCTGGAGGAGGTGTCAGCCCAATCGGAAATAAGGGGATTCAAGGTGGAGAGGGCTGTGTTCAGGAAAAATCATTCCATGTGGCTGGGATGGCCATCAGGGATTAAGAGATGGAGCTCCTGGTTGAATGGACACGGGAACTCTGGGGTGGAAAGGAGGAGTGTGCTCTCATGGTATAGGGAGAGCAAGTAGGGTCACAAAACAATGTATGTATAAACTTTTGTGTAAGAAACTAACTTGAATTGTAAACTTTCATTTAAAACACAACAATAAAATGAAAAAAAAAAGAGAAGAAGATGTAGACACCTCCACATGTAAAGTTTCTTAATGACAAAAAAAAAAAAAAGATGGAGCTCAAGGAACAGTGCAGTGATAATCCAGCCATCACCTAACCAGCTGATGGGCAAGTCACCAATCCTTTCTGGGCCTCAGTTTCCCCATCTGTAAAGTGGGGCTGACAATAGATAGACCACCTCCTAGAGTTATTCCCAAGGTGGAATAAATTAATCTATATGAAGTTCTCACACCAAACACTGGCTAGTACACAGTTGGCATTCAAGGAATGTGAACTTTTCAGAGAACAAGGTCCTAAAAGGCCTCAGTGCTCTGTGAGGAGTCTGGATTTTCTGAGGGAGTGATATCTAGATCACTGAGGAGGGTGCTCAAAGAGCAGCAGCCAGCCCTTTTCCAGGCTGCTCTCCTCCCAAGACTCTGCCGCACCCCCCCACAACTGAAGCATGAGAGCAGAGACCGCCACAGCACTGGGCCCCGGTGAGAAAGGAGAGGTGGAGAAGGCAGCCCAGGAGGGCTGCCAGGGCTGTGGGGGTCCTGACCCGGAAAGCAGAGCGGGCCCTATTGGAAAGCAAGTCAGGAAGTTCTGCTGGCAGCTTGTGTCTGGGCAGCCTGACAGGCAGGCTGAGACGCTGGGAGACAGGTGGAAGGCTATGGGGGTCCAGGCTAGAGCTGGGGGCCCTGGGGGGGTGGTCCTGGACCTTGTGTGGGGGGTGGGGAAGATGCAGGGGAAACAAAGGAAGGGTGCCCAGCCCAGGTCAGAGGCTCTTAAGCTTTTAGGGAGCGCACACCCCTCTGAGAATGTGGCATCCATGGAGACTGTCCCCAACAGCAGGCAACCAGCTTACACACACACATGCACACACATGCATGCACGGACACACACCCACACATGCATTTTGCAGACAGGTCCAGGCAGTTCACAGACCCTTGAAGCCCCTCCTGGTCTGTGGACCCAGGTTCTAGAGCAGAAGCAAGAGCTCAGAAGAGACAGGGTGAAGGAAGCAGAGTGTGGTCTGCCCAGATGGGGTGGGGGGTTCCTGACCCCCATCAGATAGTGCCTGGGCCTGGGGCACCTCTCCCTTCCTTTGACAACCAAGGCTTCTGGAACCAGGGAAATGGTAAAGTTCCCAGGACATCAGCCCATTAGGGGTGGATAAGAATGCTTCCTTGTTAGAAATTAAACCATCATCTAGTCCCACCCCCTCCTTGCACAGATGGGGAAACTGAGGTCCAGAGAGGGCAGGGACTGGCTTAGTGTCACACAGGTCCTGATGGGATGCCTTAAGTTCACCTGTGAACCCCCAGTGGGCTCAGCCACCCACTCCTGCGCTCAGGCCCCTCCTCCCTCACTGGCAGACCCCAGCGTATTCAGAGCAAGAGTGAGCACAGCTGATGGGTACAAGCTGCCCTGGACACCACTGGGTGGCCAGCCCACCTTACCTGGAAGTCTGGCTGGAGCTTGGAGAAAACCTCTTCAAAGGTGTGGCTCACCTGAGAGGAGCACCTTTTGTCGTTTTCCCTTCCTCCTTCCTGCTGCCAGGCTTGTTCTACATGAGAGAAAATAAGCTTCTAAAGGTCCATGAGTGGCACAAATGGTTTGTGCGCGACAACAAATCCCACGCGTCTGTCAGTTTGCCATACTGGGGCGGCTTGTATGTTGCTGTGATGCTGGAAGCTATGCCACCAGTACTTCAAATACCAACCAGCAGGGTTACCCACGGTGGACAGGTTTCAGCTGAGCTTCCAGACTAACAGGGACTAGGAAGAGGGACCTGGCAGTCTACTTCTGAAGAAAATTAGTAAAAACCTTATGAATAGCAGCAGAACACTGTCTGATACAGTGTCAGAAGATGAGCCCCTCAAGTTTGAAGGCACTCAAAAGATGACTGGGGAAGAGCTGCCTCCTCAAAGGAGAGTTGACCTTAACAATGTGGATGGAGTCAAGCTTTTGAGACCTTCATTTGCTGCGGTGGCACGACTCAAAATGAGAAGCAACAGCTGCAAACGGCCATTAATAATAGGAATGTGAAATGTACAAAGTATGAATCTAGGCAAATTGGAAATCGTCAAAAATGAAATGGAATGCATAAACATCGATATCCTAGGCATTAGTAAGCTGAAATGGACTGGTACTGGCCACTTTGAATCAGTCAATCATATGGTCCGCTATGCCAGGAATGACAACTTGAAGAAGAAAGGCATCGCATTCATCGTCAAAAAGAACATTTCAAGATCTATCCTGAAGTACAACACTGTCAGTGATAGGATAATATCCATATGACTACAAGGAAGACCAGTTAATACAACTATTATTCAAATTTACCCACCAACCACTAAGGCCAAAGTTGAAGAAACTGAAGACTTTTACCAACTTCTGCAGTCTGAAATTGATCAAACACACAATCAGAATGCATTGATAATTACTGGTGATTGGAATGTGAAAGTCAGAAACAAAGAAGGATCGGTAGTTGGAAAATATGGCCTTGGTGAGAGAAACAGTTCTGGAGATTACATGATAGTATTTTGCTAGACCAACAACTTCTTCATTGCAAATACTTTTTTCACCAACATAAATGGCGACTATACACGTGGACCTCGCCAGATGGAATACGCAGGAATCAAATCGACTACATCTGTAGAAAGAGACAATGGAAAAGCTCGATATCATCAGTCAGACAAGGCCAGGGGCCATCTGCGGGACAGACCATCAACTGCTCATATGCAAATTCAAGTTGAAGCTGAAGAAAATTAGAACGAGTCCATGAGAGCCAAAATACGACTTTGAGTATATTCCACCTGAACTTAGAGACCATCTCAAGAATAGATTTGACTCACTGAACACTAATGACCGACGACCAGATCAGTTATGGAATGACATCAAGAACATCACACATGAAGAAAGCAAGAGGTCATTAAAAAAACAGGAAAGGTAGAAAAGACCAAAATGAATGTCAGAAGAGACTCTGAAACTTGCTCTTGAACGTCAAGTAGCTAAAGCAAACAGAAGAAATGATGAAGTAGAAGAGCTAAACAGAAGATTTCAAAGGGCCGCTCAAGAAGACAAAGTAAAGTATTATGACGTGTGCAAAGACCTGGTGTTAGAAAACCAAAAGGGAAGAACACGTTTGGCATTTCTCAAGCTGAAAGAACTAAAGAAAAAAAAAATCAAGCCTCAAGTTGCAATACTGAAGGATTCTATGGGAAAAATACTGAACAATGCAGGAAGCATCAAAAGAAGATGGAAGGAATACACACAGTCACTGTACCAAAAAGAATTGGTCTACGTGCAATCATTTCAGGAGGTAGCATATGATCAGGAACCAATGGTACTGAAGGAAGAAGTCCAAGCTGC